TGCGATCCGTTGCCGGACACGAAAAAAGACAAAAAGGAAAAAAAAAATAAAAAGAAAAAAACAAAAAACAAAAAACAAGAGGATAAACTAATTTAAATCTCTCATCTTACAAATGAGACAATTAAGACCCATATTGATAAATGATTTGCCAAGGGTCACACAGCTAGTTAGTGGCTAAGCCAGAAATGGAATCCAGGGCCAGCTCCCAGAAAGAACTCTTAACTCCTTGTCTAATGCTTTTACCAACTCACAAAATTATCCACCTGCTCAGTGTTTTTTCTCTGGGAGAACCGAAAGCTAGAGGAGCTGGGTAGAAAAGGAATGAAAATGAAATAGGAATAAAGCAATTGCAAATGTTTCCAATTAAAATGAAGACACAGCAGCCTTGTCTGTGTATTTACAGTTCAGTTTCCTGAACGTCAAGTACCAGGCAGTGGTTGGGATGGTGAGGTTTCCCAGAGCCCTGAAAGGCGGCAGTCCTCCGGAAGCTTCCTCTATGCCAGCTGCCACAAAAGAGAGCTGCCCACAGTAGGGAACTCTGGTGGAAACAAAATAACTCTCAGCCTCAAAGGTGCTGACACTTCAACTAGGAGAACTGAGAAAGCACACAGGCTTTAGATTTCTCTGGAAAAGCAGCAAAGCTTCCTTGCAGATGAAATGTAGCAGGGGGAGGCCAAGTTATCAAATGGGGTTGGGACGCAGTTTGTAGGAAATAATTAAAATCTGGATGTGGATATATCCTTGCTTTAAAGAATAACTTTCCCAGAAGTTGTCTGCTTTTTTCCCTACCTCCAGCTCCTGGACAATGACTTCCTTATTTTCTACCTCTTCGCCTCTAGAAGGTAAACAGACAAGAGACCAGTAAGACAAGAAGGAAAGCTCTGTAGGGAGCAGACTCTAGTAGAGCAAAAATGACACTTCCACTGAGCTAAAGAAACAGGGGTTCTTAAGACCCTTTAAAGGGGTCTCCAAGGGCAAAACTATTTTCATAATAATACTAAGATGTTATTTGCCTTGTCCAGAGTGTTAACATTTGTAAACATTCGTGCAAAAGCAATGGTGGGCAAAACTGCTGGTATCTTAGCATAAATCTAGACAGTTGTGCTAAGCTGTACTAGCAGTCCTAGTAAACTAATGCCGCACAGGAAAAAATAAAATCTTGTTTCATTTAATATCCTTAAGCAGTAAAAAATTAATAATTTTATAAAATCTCAACCCTCGACTACATATCTTTTAAAATATGTTTTGTGATAAAATAGGAAGTACATAATAAAGCACTTCTGCTGCATACCAAAATATGATGGTTGTCTTGAGGAAAAGCAGTCGTGTGAGTGTTTAAGTTGCAAACTGAACTAGCCACTTTTTTCATGCAATGATATATATATATATATATTTTTCAAAAGATGACTGGTAAGGGGATCTTAACCGTTGGCTTGGGTCAGCACCACGCTCAGCCAGTGAGTGAACCGCCATACCTATATAGGATCTGAACCCATGGCCTTGGTGTTATCAGCACCACACTCTCCCGAGTGAGCCACGGGCCAGCTCTACATGCAATGATATTTTACTTGAATGATCAGTTGACAAACTATGGTTGTTATTCAGACTCGGGAGTTTGACAGACATTTTCTAAAAACGAATAAAGTGAGCATGTCAATTTCAAGGAAAACAATGGACAGTATTTGTTGTCAATGATAAATTGTGAGCTTTCAAGCGAAAATTTGAATTTTGGAAAACTTTTATCCACCATTGTGAGCTTGATGGCTTCCAAATACTTAAACACTTCTGATAAGATTGGTAGTGATATTAACAAATACTTTTTGATATTGTATAATGAAATATGTCAATATTTGGAGAATCTGTGTAAGTCAATGAACCATAATTTTTCAAATGACCAATGAAATGCATCAGGTTACAAAATCATCCTAAGTAAAATATTCATTCAAAGAACAAGATAGACCAAAGGATTTTAATGTAAAAGAATTCAGAAAGTTCACTAATATAATTTCAGGTTACACACTGCAACTAACCTTTAAAAAAACCTATTACTTAGGGCCGGCCTGTGGCTCACTTGGGAGAGTGTGGTGCTGACAACACCAAGTCAAGGGTTAAGAGCCTCTTACCGGTCATCTTTAAAAAAAAATAATAATAATAAAAAATTAAAAATTAAAAAACCTATCACTTAAAGAAAAACAAAACTACCACTTTTCAAGTTCTGATGTAGGGTCAAAGAAAAATATCCACAATGATCTGAGAGAACTATTAATATATTCTTACCATTCCTGACTCCCAATCTATATGAGCTGGACTTTTTTCATATAATTGAACCAAAAAAATTCACAACAGAATGCAGAAGCAGATATGATAATCTATCAGACTTGATTAAACTAGACATTAACAAGATTTTCAAAAATATAAAATGCCAATCTTCTCATTTTTGTTTGTTTGTTTTGGAAAAGATATTTTTTAATAAAAACATGTTACCATTTAATGGACATACCATTTCTTTTTTTTTTTTTTTTTCCTTTTTGTCTTTTTTTCGTGACTGGTAACGGGATCGCAACCCTCAGTGTCGCGCCCGTACCATGACCGGCAACGGGATCACAACCCTCGGTGTCGCACCCGCACCGCACTCAGCCAGTGAGCGGACCAGTCTCTATATGGGATCCGAACCCTCGGCGGGAGCGCCACTGCACTCCCAAGCGCTGCACTCTACCAAGTGCATCACCGGGCCGGCCTTGGACATACCATTTCTAAATTAATACATTTTTTAATTGTGGAAAAAGTATATAACAAAATTCGCCATTTTAACCATTTTTTGTTGTCTTATTTTTATATATGTTAACCATTTTTAAGTGTACAATTCGGTGATATTAATTACATTCACAATGTTGTGCAACCATCACCACTATCTATTTCTAAAACTTTTTTATCACCCCAAGCAGAAAAACTGTACTCTCTAAGCAGTAACTCTCTGTTCTCTCCTCCTCCCAGTCCCTGGTGACCTCTAATCTACTTTCTGTCTCTATGAATTTTCCTTTTCTACATTTTTCATATAAATGGAATCATACAATATTTGTCTTTTTGTGATTGGCTTATTTTGCTTAGCATAGTGCTTTCAAGGTTCATACATGTTGTACATGTTTCAGAACTTCATTCCTTTTGCAATTTCTTTTTCTTTTCTTTTTATGACTGAATAGTATTACATTGTGCTTATATACCACATTTTGTTTATCCATTCATCTGCTGATAGATAGTGGGGTTGTTTCCACCTTCTGGTTATTGTGAATAACATTGCTATGAATATTGTTGTACAAGTTATCAGTTGGAACCCGTTTTCAGTTCTTCGGGTATATACCTAGGATTGAAATTGCTGGGTCATACAGTAATTCCATGTTTAACTCGTTGAACTGCAAAACTTTTTTTTTTTTTTTTTTTTTAAAGATGACCAGTAAGGGGATCTTAACCCTTGATTGGTGTTGTCAGCACCGTGCTCTGCCAGTGAGCAAACCGGCCATCCCTATATGGGATCCGAACCCGTGGCCTTGGTGTTATCAGCATCACACTCTCCCGAACTGCAAAACTTTTCGAACAGCAGCTGCACCACCATTTTACATTCCCACCAGGAATGTACAAGGGTTCCAGTTCCACCACGTCTTTGCCAACAACTGTTATTTTCTGTGGGTTTTTTTTTTTTTTTAAATTATTG